GGTCCTCTGTCTGGGCAGCTGCAGCCTCCCTTCCTTGTTTTCCCTGGCTGGAGCCCAAGACTGGGCAAGTGGGCAGAGGGATCAAATGAGGTAAAGTGTGGAAGTCCTTTGAAACTGGTAACGAGTAGGCAGATGCCAAGGGGCGTTATTTGTGGTGATGGCTCAGAGCGGAGAGCTGGGATAGCCCACCCCCCAGGAGGCATGCGGGCTTGCACCCCTTTTTAAGCCTCGGAGTTCTCGTCCTACGGCGCCAAGAGACTCTTTCCATCTTGAGAAAGGGTGGAGTCACCTCCAAAAGGCTTGGGGCTGGGTGCTTTCTGAAATGTTGGGGAATCTGGGCCTCTACTTCTGTTAATAGTGGTACCTTTCTGTGCCAAGGCACATTGCTCTGGATGGGGGCTAATTTTAGGGGTGATGGAATGAGGAAATGATGTTCTTAACTTAGCGTGTACTGGAACCGCCCCATCTCTAGATCTTTTTCTTCTCCCGTGAGTTCTGAACCCCAGAGAACAGGCCCCCCCTCCTCTTCCCTCAAGCCTGTTGTGAGCACCCAGGACCAATGTGTGTCCTCTCCCCTTGAGTCCGGCAGGGGGCAGCCTTTTAATAGCAATAATCCAGATGCCAAGGGAGTGAGGGTATACTGAGGCCAGAGAGAGAGAAGAGGGCGAGGAGGGAGCAGGTGGATGGGCAGACAGATGCTGAGGGCGGGCCGAGGGGTAGGGGCGAAGCTGGAGCGAGTTCCAGGAGACCCTTAGACCAAGCAGCCGGGAAGGCTGCTGCCCCTGTCCTCTGCCTGCCACCTCTCCTGCTCTTTCCTTCACTGGAAAGGGATACAGATGCTTGGCTTTGAGAGTTGTGTTAGAAAAACTTAAGTCAATTTTTTGTAAACTTGTTCCTTTCTCGAGGATTTCCCTCCTGGCAGGATTTCAAATTTCTCTCATGGGGCAGTGTAATTAGGGGTGATTTCCTTGCTCTTCAGAGGGGAGAATGAACTGGAGTAAATTTGGTTTCTCTTCTCTTTCATTCTTCCGCGTAAACAGAGATTAGGCTTTACCTGTGCTGGGGCATAGAGGAGGGTTTCCCAGGCGTGGCACTGTTGATATTTGGGGCCAGATAATTTTCTGTTGCAGGGTCGGGGGGTGGGCTGTCCTGTGCACTGTAGGATGTTTAGCAACATCCCTGGCCTCAACCCAGGTAAAGTGTGGAAGTGTAGATGCCTGTGGTACCTCCCAGTCATGCCAACCAGAAATGTCTCCAGATATTGCCAGATGTCCCCTGGGGAGCAGAGTCGCCTCCGTCGAGGCTTCGAGGAAGCATGTGGAAAAGATACACACCTGTTGGGAGGGATGGAAACCGGGGTGCCATGCATGCTTCCTTTAGCCTGAGGAAGGACCAGGCAGCCACCAGCTTCTGGGACCAGGTCCTCCTCTGGCTGGACCTGCCCAGAGCCATGGCCGTTTTCTCCGGCTGCTCCCCTGCTTCCTCTCGGCCCTGACTGCGTCTCTCTTGCCTCTGCAGTGTCTCTGCCTCTCACCTGGGAGCCGCTTCTCCTCGGTTTGCTCCTTACAGCCAGGACAGAAGGGAGAAGGCCGGAAGTAGACAGCACCGCGGCCAGCCGCCCTGCTGCTCCCTGGAAGGGGGGGAGGGTGAGTGGTCCCCTTTGCTGTCCCCTGTCCCCACAGCAGCCTTCCACGCCCACGGGACTCTTCTGTCCCTCTAGAAGCCCCTCTTCTGGAGTGAGCTGGAGGCGGCTCTGAGCAGCCTCGCCAGAGGTTTGTTCAAAGGAATGTGAGGTGTTTTTCTTGGAGTGGGGAAGACATAGGTATGCAGTAGCTATCCCCGAATGTCTTTTTTTTCTCTAAACCTTTTTTTTTAATGCTGGTAAGAATATAACGTACCCCATTTTAGCCATTTTTTTTAAAGATTGGCACCTGAGCTAACAACTGTTGCCAATCTTTTTTTTTTTCTTCCTGCTTTTTCTCCCCAAATCCTCCCAGTACGTAGTTGTATATTTTAGTTGTGGGTCCTTCTAGTTGTGGCTTGTGGGACACCGCCTCAGCATGGCCTGATGAGCAGTGCCATGTCTGCGCCCAGGATCCGAACCAGTGAAACCCTGGGCCGCTGAAGCAGAGCGCTGGAACTTAACCACTCGGCCCCGGGCCCGGCCCCATTAACCATTTTTAAGTGTATGGTTTTGTAGCATTAAATCCATTCACATTGTTGTGTAACCATCACCACCATCGTCTCAGAACTTTCTCGTCTTCCCTGTTTTGGCTGGAACTGTCACTGTTAAGCACCAACTCCCCACTCTGCTGGCTCCCAAGCCCTGGCACCCACCATCCTACTCTCTCTCTCCCTGAATCTAGGGATCTCATATGAGAGGAGTATTGGGTCTTTTGTGACTGGTTTGTTTGACTTAGCATAACGTCTTCAAGATGCATCTGCTGACCACATTACATACAGGTTGTAGTGTAGAAAGGATTAACCTTACTCTGCTGTCCTGAGGCCTCCTTGAATCCAGGGAAAGGAAGAGCTTTTCAACTGATTTATCTTCTCTGTCGCCCGGGTGTGCCGTAGCACGCTCCATCACCAGAAATGTCCAGCCGGGGCTGTTGTAGAAGAGATGTTCATGCCCCGGGAGGTCAGCCCCGCTCTAGAGGGTCCCCAAAGCTGCATTTCGCCCTGGGATGCTGGGGTTTGGGGAGTGGGTCCTTTGTCTGTCCTAGAGTTAGCTTCGTCTTCCGGTCTGCCATTGTAGGTGACAGCCTCTTTCCCTTGGCCCCTCTGGTGGAAACCCTTCTTCGTTCCAGAGTTGTGGAGTCGCGGAGTTTGATGGGAACCCTGGAGGCACTCCGGTCCAGCCTACCCCCGAGCCAGTGAGGGCAGCCCTCGTGCAGCTCCCTGGGACCCTGCCCCGGCCGTCCTCTGCTTGGAACCACCAGGGATGAGCCACCTCCTGAGAGCCTTTTCCGCTGTTCTTTAGAGGGACAGGTCACTGCCACCGCTGCTGCTTCTGTCAGCCTCAGGAACTCTGCCCTTATTTCTGCTTTATGGTGAGGAGCCTTCCTTCCAGCTTGTACCCTGATAACATGTTCCCTCTTGCCCTTCATCCTTACAATCAGGCCTCTCCTGATCCTGGGGAAGGAGTCTGAGGGTTGAGTCCTGTTTGGTCCATCAGCCCATGAGGGCGCAGCTGGACTTGCCTGCCCGGGTCCTTCAGGAACACCCCCTGCCTCCCTTGTGCTGGGTTTCTTCCCAAACTGAACCCCTGGATTCTAGCTGCCAAGCAGCCAGCCCTGAGTATTTTCAAGAGGGAAGTAATTTTGTTTCCAGATTAGTTTCTAACCCTTCTCTCCATAACTCACCTTTTCTCTCTCTAGAATACTTGTGGTGCCAGGGAGTTTTTTTGCTTGTTTGCTTGTTTTCGTTTCATCGTTGTCCTGAACACCCGTGCATACCTGAACCAGCCTCTTACCAGATACTGTGCCACACGGCGAGCGAGCTGGGCCTAGTGAGGTGCCTGCGTGTTTTTGCCGCACCTCCAGCACCTCACTCAGCCTTTGCTGAGTGAATGATGAGCTGCTCTTGAGGCCTAAGGTGGGGGGACTCAAATGAGGAGGAGCAGGGGCCGTGGGCCCCTGTGTTGGACAAGCAGCAGCCTCCAGGCAGCTGGGAGTCCCCCTGTTGCGCAGGAAGAGGAGGGCCCGAAGCAGGGAGGCCCGTCTGACCCATTGACTTAACCCCGCCTTGCTCCCCTCATCTCTCATTAGGGATCTTTCCCGGATGTGAAGGTCCCTCCCCGGCACCACTGTGGTTAGAGCAACATCCAGTAGTTTGGGGACCCTGGTTCACTCCAGCATAGGCCCCTGCCTGAAGAGAGCCCAGCCCCCACCCTCCCTGCTTCCTGGGGCAAGGCTGCCAGGTGAGTCTGGGGTGGAAGGAGGGTGCCCCTGCAGAAGCTGGAAAGGGCCTTAGCTGCCCTGTGTCCTCTCCTCCCCCAGGTCTGTCCCCACCGTGACTCTTTGGTCAACTCATGGTGTGAGTGGCTCGTGGCTGCTTACGTGAGTCCTTTCAGAGCCTCTTACTGTGCCCACCCAGGTGGGGACCTATTCTTCACTCTCTTGGGGTTCTCTGGGTGTGCTGCCACCAAGGCCCAATGTCCTTATGCTCCACAGGTGTTTGGAGAGAGAACGCCAGGTCCCCCCTCCTCTGCTCAGCCCCTCTGACCTCTAGCACCCGCACAGCCCCACAATGGCAGCAGAGACCCTGAACTTTGGGCCTGAGTGGTGAGTCAGGTGTGCTTTGGGTGGCATGGAGAAACTTGGAAGGATAGGGCTGCTCAGACGCCTGTCTTTCTCCTTCCCCTGTGTCATCTTTCTAGGCTGAGGGCCCTTTCCAGCGGTGGCAGTGTGACCTCCCCACCCCCATCCCCTGCCATGCCCAAATACAAGCTGGCTGACTATCGCTACGGCAGAGAGGAGATGCTGGCCCTCTACGTCAAGGAGAACAAGGTGAGGGAGTGGGAGGGGTATGTGTCCCTTGCCCGTTTGGCCTCAGCAGTGGAGAGGACCCAGGAGCATGTGGTATCTCTGCCCTCCTGCCCCGACTGACAGGTCCCTGATGAGCTGCAGGACAAGGAGTTTGCTGCGGTGCTGCAAGAGGAGCCACTGCAGCCCCTGGCACTGGAGCCCCTGACTGAGGAGGAGCAGGTGGGGCTGGGCTGGGGCAGCTGCGGGTCGGGGTGCTGGGTCTCCACCTTGGTGAGGGGCTGGGGTTGGGCAGACAGGTGGTGGAGGTTGCAGTTTTGGACAGGGGTCGGGGCAGTCTGGTGCCTGGGTCCTTACTGCTGCCCCTGGCTCCCTCCTCAGAGAAACTTCTCCCTGTCAGTGAACAGTGTGGCCGTGCTGAGGCTGATGGGGAAAGGGGCTGGCCCCCCCCTCGGTGGCACCTCCCGTGGCAGGGGCAGCACGCGGAGCCGAGGTAGAAGGGGTGCTGGTGTGTTCTGGGGGCCGGCAGAGGTGGGGCTCGTGGTCTTGAGGCTGTGGAGAGAGATGATCTGGCAGGTTTCCCATGTGCCTCTCGTCTTTTCTCCAGGCCGTGGCCGCGGTGACAGTTGCTTTTACCAAAGAAGCATTGAGGAAGGCGACGGGGCCTTTGGCCGAAACCCCCGGGAGATCCAGCGTAGCCAGAGTTGGGATGACAGGTGCAGGCTGGAAGGAGGTGGCATCGAGGCAGAGCAGAGAGAAGCCCTGGGGTTAGGTCCCGGGGTTGCCTGCGGGGGGAAGGGTTGGGTCTGTCAGTAGAGGACGGCAGGAGACCCACCAGATAAGCCCTGTCAGGTCTCTCTCTGTGCCCTTTGTCCCCGTGGCCCTGCCCTTTTCCTTCTGATTCTTATGGTACCTGTTTGTCCTGGGACACTCTGCTCTCTGTGCCCCCTTGGGATCCCTCCCAAGCCTGACTTTTCCCAGTTTCTCTGTCCCCTGTAACACTCCCCGCCGCCCCCGCCCCGGGCAGAAAGGACAAGGTGTGCAGAGCTCCCGCAGGGTGGGGAGGGAAGCTGTCCTTTGACCAGCATCTTTCCCTCTTGCAGAGGCGAGAGGCGGTTTGAGAAGTCGGCCAGGAGGGATGGAGGTATGGAGAGTGGCGAGGGTAGTAGCCAGGCCCTGGAGGTCTTTGAGAGGCGGGGGGAGGGCTGAAATGGCTGACCGTACTAAGGGGGATGTTTCCTGGGGGAGATGGTGGGGCAGGAGGGCCTGGAGCTGGGCTCCTCTTTACCAGGAAGGTTTAGAGTAAGAGTCTTCCAGGGACCGGGGCTGAGTTCACTGACTCTGTCTTTCCCCGCCCCTAAGCACGATCCGGGTTTGAGGAGGGAGGGGCTGGCCCTCGGAAGGAACATGCCCGCTCAGATAGCGAGAACTGGCGTTCTCTCCGAGAGGAGCAAGAGGAAGAGGAAGAGGGCAGCTGGAGAATTGGGGCAGGACCCCGGCGAGATGGAGACCGCTGGCGCTCAGCCAGCCCTGGTGAGATGGGCGCCAGAGGGGTGGGGTGGGCGGTGGTGGCAGGCACTTCCTGGGACGCCAGGCGGAGGGTGCGAAAAGCTCTCTGGAGTGCGGTGGGTGGGGCACCTGCAAGTGCCGCTGTCCCCGGGGGTCCTGGGGAGCAGCAGAACGTGGACGTTCTGGCTTGACCGGGATACCCATTCTCCTTCTCCTCCAACTTTTCCTGTCCAGATGGTGGCCCCCGCTCTGCTGGCTGGCGGGAACATGGGGACCGGCGTCGCAAGTTTGAATTTGATTTGCGAGGGGATCGAGGAGGGTGTGGTGAAGAGGAGGGGCGGGGTGGGGGAGGCAGCTCTCACCTCCGGAGGTGCCGAGGGCCTGACGGTTTTGATGACGACAAGGATGGGCTCCCCGAGTGGTGCCTGGACGATGAGGATGAAGAAATGGGCACCTTCGATGCCTCTGGGGCCTTCTTGCCTCTCAAGGTATCTGTGAGGAGGCAAGGGGAAGGTTTCTGTTAGAGGTTGGTGGGAACCTGCCCTGATGGGGTCCTCTCACTCCTCCCATCTGTCGGCTGCCCCTCACCTCCCCATTGTGTTCCCTAACCCCATGCAGAAGAGTCCCAAGGAGCCCATTCCTGAGGAGCAGGAGCTCGACTTCCAGGGCCTGGAGGAGGAGGAGGAGGAGCCTCCAGAAGGGCTGGACCAGGAGGGGCCCGAGTCAGGTACGCCTGGGGGTGGGGCAGGGATGAAGCCTGAGGGGTCCCTCAGCTGGACACTGGCTGTCCGTCCGCCTTGCTTAGAAACTCGAGGACAGCCAGTGCTGACGGATGTGGGGAGGAACCCGGAAACAACAGGGCTGGGTCTTAAAGGCAGTGTGTCAAGTGAAAATCAAGCATCATTAAAATGACCTTTGAGAATCCCTTGAAGAATCTGTGGAAGACAGTACTACATCTCTGGTACTACATATACAGCCCTGGACAGTGACATGGTCACATGCCCAGTATCTTAGGGGCGAAAGAGTAAACGTACACCGTGGGTTTGTGCTGAACGTTAGGGGAGTTGACCAAAGTTAAGTGGGTGGGCTCAGTATCCAGAGGCCCAGGCTCTGGCCACAAATGGAGGGTTTGTGCTGAATCACTTGCAAGGCCTTCCTGCCCTCGGTTTTGCATTCTGGTAATTCCCCTTCTCTTTCAGGTGGGAAGGAGCTGACCCCTCTGCCTCCTCAGGAGGAGCAGCCCAGCGGCCCCTCCCCGCTGCCCACCTTGGGCCCGCTCTGGGGAGCGAATGGCGAAGGTGATGATGCTGGGGAGAAAGACCTGCCGGCCGCTGAAGGTACAACCAGAGAGCGGGGCCACCCTTTCCCTGAGCCAGGGGCTGGTGGGGCAAACGCTCCCCTTCCTTGTGGGAAGGAGGTGTGTGGGGGCTAGAGATAGAGCTTTCTGGACTGAGGGTGGATAGGGGACTGCCTTACCTCCTTCTCCAGACCCCGCATCCTACCTTCCTTTCTTCACTCCTTCTAGGAGACGATATGAGGGGAATGCAGCTGAGTCCTGGGGGGGGCTCGCCCCCTGGCCCACCCGGAGATCTGGAAGATGATGAAGGCTTGAAGCACCTGCAGCAGGTGTGGGGGCCTAAGAAGGTTCTAGGGCTCCTCCCCAGCTGGGCACAGAGAGCCGTTCCACCTGTCCCTGCCCATGTTCCAGGCTTTTCCCTATCTGCCCGCTGTATCCAGGACGTGAGCCCCTGACCCCAGCCCCAGCCCCGTCCCTGTGTTGCTGGGATTGGGCGGTTGAGCCTTCTCTCCCTGGGCTTCCAGGAGGCGGAGAAGCTGGTGGCCTCCCTGCAGGACAGCTCTTTGGAGGAGGAGCAGTTCACGGCCGCCATGCAGGCCCAGGGCCTGCGCCACTCTGCAGCTGCCACTGCCCTCCCCCTCAGCCACGGCGCGGCTCGGAAGTGGTTCTACAAGGACCCCCAGGGAGAGATCCAAGGTGCCCATGTGGAGCTGGGGTCATGCGGGAGGGGGCACGGGGACACCCCCCTTCTCATTCCGGGCTTCTCTGGTGCACATTTCTAACTGAAATCCCCCTTCCCTTGCCCAGGCCCCTTCACAACACAGGAGATGGCGGAGTGGTTCCAGGCGGGCTATTTTTCCATGGCTCTGCTTGTGAAGCGGGGCTGTGACGAGGGCTTCCAGCCACTGGGTGAGGTGATCAAGATGTGGGGCCGTGTGCCCTTCGCCCCGGGGCCCTCACCACCCCCACTGCTGGTGAGCATACCCCCTTTGGCGTGGAGCAGGGAGGGGAGGCGGGAGCCTGATGGCCGGCAGCGGGTGGTGCAGAGCGAGACAAGGTCGGAGCCGCAGGAATGCTGTCCCTCTCCCTCAGGGAAACATGGACCAGGAGCGGCTGAAGAAGCAACAGGAGCTGGCAGCGGCGGCCTTGTACCAGCAGCTGCAGCACCAGCAGTTTCTTCAGCTGGTCAGCAGGTATGGGGGTCCTGGAAGGGACTGTCTGTGGGGCCAGGCCCTGGCCGTGTGGCCGGCCCCCCAACACCTGGGTGCGTCTCTGCAGCCGCCAGCTCCCGCAGTGTGCCCTCCGGGAAAAGGCAGCCCTGGGGGAGCTGACGCCGCCGCAGCAGCAGCAGCTCACCGCGTTCCTGCAGCAGCTCCAAGCTCTCAAACCCCCCAGGTCTGTGGGCTGGTCTTCGTCTCATCGCATCTCTGTGTGGCTGTGTGTGTGTCTGAGCCCTCAGGATGTGTACAGGGGGAGATGGGGCAGACCGTAGCTGTGTCTAGGGTGCTGAGGATCAATGCTTTGCTCCTTAGAGGTGGGGACCAGAACCTGCTCCCGACGATGAACCGGTCCTTGTCAGTGCCGGATTCGGGCCCCCTCTGGGACATACATACCTCAGCCTCATCACAGTCAGGTGTGTGGCCAGCCAGTCCCTGCCCTGGCCCTTGAGCCCTCCCTCCCTGGCCCTTCTTGAGTCCCAATGCCTCCTGCCATCTCCAGCATGCCTTCCCACCCCCCGCCCCTGCCGGGCTGGCTCCAGGTGAGCAGGAAGTACGGGGCGCTCCACCCCTCCTGCTGCTCTGGCCCAGGGGACCCAAGCTCCCTCCTGCAGCTGCCTTTGCCTCCTGCAGGCGGTGAGGCCAGTCTTTGGGACATACCAATTAACTCTTCGACTCAGGGTCCAATTCTAGAACAACTCCAGCTGCAACATAAAGTGAGTAGGCGTCCTTGGGCATCAAGGGCATGACTGAGGCAGGGAAGGCCAGGTGCCCCAGGTCTGACGTCTGGTCTCGTTGGCCCTGCCAGTTCCAAGAGCGCAGAGAAGTGGAGCTCAGGGCGAAGCGGGAGGAGGAAGAGCGCAAGCGCCGCGAGGAGAAGCGCCGCCAGCAGCAGCAGGAGGAGCAGAAGCGGCGGCAGGAGGAAGAGGAGTTGTTTCGGCGCAAGCAGGTGGGGGTCCCACCAGCCCTTGGCCAGCCAGCCTGAGCCTGGGGCCCGGCCGCGCACCCTCACTGCATCCCTCCCGTCCAGGTGCGGCAGCAGGAGCTTCTCCTGAAGTTGCTGCAGCAGCAGCAGGCAGTGGCCACTGTGCCCGTGCCCCCTGCGCCCAGCTCCCCGCCCCCACTGTGGGCTGGCCTGGCCAAGCAGGGGCTCTCCATGAAGACGCTGCTCGAGCTGCAGCTGGAGGGCGAGCGGCAGCTGCATAAGCAGCCGCCGCCTCGGGAGCCATCGCGGGCCCAGGCCCCCAACCACCGTGTGGTGAGCAGGCTGGGCCCTTCCCTGGTTGACTGGCACCTTTCGGGCCCTCGGGAACCCCTTCCATTCAGCTCCCAGGTGACCCCGGGGTGGGGCGTCGCTGAGCCCAAAGCTTCCAGCCGAGTGCTAGCCTGTGTCTGGCTCTGAAGGATCTCTTTTGTCTGGGGCCCTCACCTTGCTCCCCCCATCCCACCTAAACCAGCCTCCCTACTTAGCTCTCTTGAGTGTGTGTGTCCCTGCTTGGGCCACCCTGACTTCCTGCCGTCTGTAGCAGCTTGGGGGCCTGGGCGCTGCCCCCCTGAACCAGTGGGTATCTGAGGCTGGGCCGCTGTGGGGCGGGCCCGACAAGAGCGGGGGCAGCAGCGGTGGCCTGG